ACATATAAAAATACTAATTGGACTAAGGTCTGTGAACAAATATTACAATAATAAATCATAATATTACTTCTGACGATGTTTCACTCTTCTTTCTGAACAGCGACCGATGAGACGATGACTGTCGTACTGATGCCTCCGCGAAAATTGGGGAAGTTGATTTTGAGCAAACAACCAAGAATTGATCGTTCAATCTTCAACTCCATTGACATGATGCATGTGTGAATATATTAATCAGTTAATTAAATCAGTAATCAAATGACAATTACGAATAAATATAATAAAAATGAAAATTCGTAGTAAGTTATATTTCGATGACTTGCACGTAACGTTTAGGCCAATGGACTCGTCTACCAGATCGTGTTGTTTTCGCAGGCTTCTCTGTCGACGTTGAAGCTTGTGTGGATGTAGGTGTTGGCACGTCGTTCAGCTGGTCCTTATCGTTGACTTGGAAATCGTCGAGGAACACTGGTTTGACTCTGTCGGTACTGATGGTTTCTGTTTTATTCAATCTTTCTATCGTGATAACTTTTGCGTTTCTGTTTAGAACTTTGAATGGGCCATCATAAGCGGGTTGAAGTGGTCGTTGTACACCTTCTCTCCTGACGTAGACGTGGATGCAGTCTGTCAGTTGTGACGGGATGTATGACGCTCGTTCCTGCTGACGCGGAAGTGATATCTTTGGCTCGTTCATGTGTCGTTTTAGCTGGTGCACGTAACCAGTCATATCGCATGGAACTTCGTTACCCGGGGTGAAAAATTCTCCTGGTAATCGTAATATTGTTCCACAGACTAGTTTGGAAACACAGCAGCCATGATTGAGCCACGTCTCATAAACCGTTAATGCCCAGCTCTCGCTACGCTCGGGCTCACGCTGTTCCTTGAAGATTTCATAAACGCTTAGTTATAACGGACGATAAACCAAAACACTGATTGGCCGCTTGAGATTTTTTTATTGTTACACCAACATATAAAAATACTAATTGGACTAAGGTCTGTGAACAAATATTACAATAGTAAATCATAATATTACTTCTGACGATGTTTCACTCTTCTTTCTGAACAGCGACCGATGAGACGATGACTGTCGTATTGATGCCTCCGCGAAAATTGGGGAAGTTGATTTTGAGCAAACAACCAAGAATTGATCGTTCAATCTTCAACTCCATTGACATGATGCATGTGTGAATATATTAATCAGTTAATTAAATCAGTAATCAAATGAGAATTACGAATAAATATAATAAAAATGAAAATTCGTAGTAAGTTATATTTCGATGACTTGCACGTAACGTTTAGGCCAATGGACTCGTCTACCAGATCGTGTTGTTTTCGCAGGCTTCTCTGTCGACGTTGAAGCTTGTGTGGATGTAGGTGTTGGCACGTCGTTCAGCTGGTCCTTATCGTTGACTTGGAAATCGTCGAGGAACACTGGTTTGACTCTGTCGGTACTGATGGTTTCTGTTTTATTCAATCTTTCTATCGTGATAACTTTTGCGTTTCTGTTTAGAACTTTGAATGGGCCATCATAAGCGGGTTGAAGTGGTCGTTGTACACCTTCTCTCCTGACGTAGACGTGGATGCAGTCTGTCAGTTGTGACGGGATGTATGACGCTCGTTCCTGCTGACGCGGAAGTGATATCTTTGGCTCGTTCATGTGTCGTTTTAGCTGGTGCACGTAACCAGTCATATCGCATGGAACTTCGTTACCCGGGGTGAAACATTCTCCTGGTAATCGTAATATTGTTCCACAGACTAGTTTGGAAACACAGCAGCCATGATTGAGCCACGTCTCATAAACCGTTAATGCCCAGCTCTCGCTACGCTCGGGCTCACGCTGTTCCTTGAAGATTTCATAAACGCTTAGTTATAACGGACGATAAACCAAAACACTGATTGGCCGCTTGAGATTTTTTTATTGGTACACCAACATATAAAAATACTAATTGGACTAAGGTCTGTGAACAAATATTACAATAGTAAATCATAATATTACTTCTGACGATGTTTCACTCTTCTTTCTGAACAGCGACCGATGAGACGATGACTGTCGTATTGATGCCTCCGCGAAAATTGGGGAAGTTGATTTTGAGCAAACAACCAAGAATTGATCGTTCAATCTTCAACTCCATTGACATGATGCATGTGTGAATATATTAATCAGTTAATTAAATCAGTAATCAAATGACAATTACGAATAAATATAATAAAAATGAAAATTCGTAGTAAGTTATATTTCGATGACTTGCACGTAACGTTTAGGCCAATGGACTCGTCTACCAGATCGTGTTGTTTTCGCAGGCTTCTCTGTCGACGTTGAAGCTTGTGTGGATGTAGGTGTTGGCACGTCGTTCAGCTGGTCCTTATCGTTGACTTGGAAATCGTCGAGGAACACTGGTTTGACTCTGTCGGTACTGATGGTTTCTGTTTTATTCAATCTTTCTATCGTGATAACTTTTGCGTTTCTGTTTAGAACTTTGAATGGGCCATCATAAGCGGGTTGAAGTGGTCGTTGTACACCTTCTCTCCTGACGTAGACGTGGGTGCAGTCTGTCAGTTGTGACGGGATGTATGACGCTCGTTCCTGCTGACGTGGAAGTGATATCTTTGGCTCGTTCATGTGTCGTTTTAGCTGGTGCACGTAACCAGTCATATCGCATGGAACTTCGTTACCTGGGGTGAAAAATTCTCCTGGTAATCGTAATATTGTTCCACAGACTAGTTTGGAAACACAGCAGCCATGATTGAGCCACGTCTCATAAACCGTTAATGCCCAGCTCTCGCTACGCTCGGGCTCACGCTGTTCCTTGAAGATTTCATAAACGCTTAGTTATAACGGACGATAAACCAAAACACTGATTGGCCGCTTGAGATTTTTTTATTGGTACACCAACATATAAAAATACTAATTGGACTAAGGTCTGTGAACAAATATTACAATAATAAATCATAATATTACTTCTGACGATGTTTCACTCTTCTTTCTGAACAGCGACCGATGAGACGATGACTGTCGTACTGATGCCTCCGCGAAAATTGGGGAAGTTGATTTTGAGCAAACAACCAAGAATTGATCGTTCAATCTTCAACTCCATTGACATGATGCATGTGTGAATATATTAATCAGTTAATTAAATCAGTAATCAAATGACAATTACGAATAAATATAATAAAAATGAAAATTCGTAGTAAGTTATATTTCGATGACTTGCACGTAACGTTTAGGCCAATGGACTCGTCTACCAGATCGTGTTGTTTTCGCAGGCTTCTCTGTCGACGTTGAAGCTTGTGTGGATGTAGGTGTTGGCACGTCGTTCAGCTGGTCCTTATCGTTGACTTGGAAATCGTCGAGGAACACTGGTTTGACTCTGTCGGTACTGATGGTTTCTGTTTTATTCAATCTTTCTATCGTGATAACTTTTGCGTTTCTGTTTAGAACTTTGAATGGGCCATCATAAGCGGGTTGAAGTGGTCGTTGTACACCTTCTCTCCTGACGTAGACGTGGGTGCAGTCTGTCAGTTGTGACGGGATGTATGACGCTCGTTCCTGCTGACGTGGAAGTGATATCTTTGGCTCGTTCATGTGTCGTTTTAGCTGGTGCACGTAACCAGTCATATCGCATGGAACTTCGTTACCTGGGGTGAAAAATTCTCCTGGTAATCGTAATATTGTTCCACAGACTAGTTTGGAAACACAGCAGCCATGATTGAGCCACGTCTCATAAACCGTTAATGCCCAGCTCTCGCTACGCTCGGGCTCACGCTGTTCCTTGAAGATTTCATAAACGCTTAGTTATAACGGACGATAAACCAAAACACTGATTGGCCGCTTGAGATTTTTTTATTGGTACACCAACATATAAAAATACTAATTGGACTAAGGTCTGTGAACAAATATTACAATAATAAATCATAATATTACTTCTGACGATGTTTCACTCTTCTTTCTGAACAGCGACCGATGAGACGATGACTGTCGTACTGATGCCTCCGCGAAAATTGGGGAAGTTGATTTTGAGCAAACAACCAAGAATTGATCGTTCAATCTTCAACTCCATTGACATGATGCATGTGTGAATATATTAATCAGTTAATTAAATCAGTAATCAAATGACAATTACGAATAAATATAATAAAAATGAAAATTCGTAGTAAGTTATATTTCGATGACTTGCACGTAACGTTTAGGCCAATGGACTCGTCTACCAGATCGTGTTGTTTTCGCAGGCTTCTCTGTCGACGTTGAAGCTTGTGTGGATGTAGGTGTTGGCACGTCGTTCAGCTGGTCCTTATCGTTGACTTGGAAATCGTCGAGGAACACTGGTTTGACTCTGTCGGTACTGATGGTTTCTGTTTTATTCAATCTTTCTATCGTGATAACTTTTGCGTTTCTGTTTAGAACTTTGAATGGGCCATCATAAGCGGGTTGAAGTGGTCGTTGTACACCTTCTCTCCTGACGTAGACGTGGGTGCAGTCTGTCAGTTGTGACGGGATGTATGACGCTCGTTCCTGCTGACGTGGAAGTGATATCTTTGGCTCGTTCATGTGTCGTTTTAGCTGGTGGCGGAGGTGTTTTCACCAATGTGAGAGGGCAAAAGCGGATGCCCGGCGCTCTTCACCGGGTTGACTGTCCATTGGATTACAGTCTAGGGGTGATGGCTTAACGCTGATTCCAAACCTCAAAGGACTGCCGTATGAAGCTCACCGGCAGACGTATGGACAAAGGGCTTATTGGATGCCCTGGATGACTGGCCCCATTCAAAAAGGCGAATGAACCGGTCACCGGCTGCCAATGGATAGTGGACTCCCTACTCCACTCCTACTGCCTTGTAGGTCACACTTGGTTGTGTAAAGGCTAGAGCTGCACTCTCAAACAAAAGGCCGAGCGATGCTGGGGACATCACTCGTACCCAATTCCCATGAAACTTCATGGTTCATGAAGCCGGCTCATCCTCCCGTAGGAGATAGCCGAAGTAAAGACAAAGTGAAAGCACAATCATATATGTGCTCTAGTCAGGAGAAGTGTAGTCATTGTCATTGGAGACGATCTGAACCATATTTAGTGACTTTACCATCACAACCTTTGGGTATACAAAAGTTAAAAGAACTTTTGAATTATCCCTCCGGTTCATGTTGCTCTATGAGTGAGTCTTGCAATTGTAATACTCATTCATCTCATTCTCCTAATAATCATGATTTGGAAAGTAACCATTTTTCAAATAGTGGAATCATTGAGGATGATCGAGATGGGTGTCAAAATTGTACAGATAAACCTAACAATAATAATAATAGCAATAATGAAAACAGCTATGCCAATAACCTCTCATCAAATTACTGTACACAAAATGGAATCCATATACAGTCATTTACTTCGTGCCATACAACTCAATGTGATACAGTTTCAACCCAGAGTCAGCCTTCAAAGACTAATACGGTTATAACTGACTCCTCTCACTTAAAGATATGCCATGACATAACAAATGAAAGCAATAAAGTAATAGCTAATAATGTCAATACGCTGTTAAATACAACTCAACCGGTATGCGCACAAAATGTTAATCAGCCAATAGTTCCTTCCGTTGTAAATTCTAATGTGATCAATACAGCTGCTCGCCGACGTAGGCGCCTACCAAGTAGTTGGTCTACTCTAAGTTCAACACTGATTGGCAATACAGATGTATCAGGAAATACCACTAATGGTCACACGTTGAGTAACATGTTTACCAATAATAGACGCCAAACTCAGTTAAATCAACGTCCATCCAAAGGCAATAGCACTCATCATGCTTATATCCCATATCAAGTTACACCGACGGTTATTCCAGGATATCTTTGGCTCGTTCATGTGTCGTTTTAGCTGGTGCACGTAACCAGTCATATCGCATGGAACTTCGTTACCCGGGGTGAAAAATTCTCCTGGTAATCGTAATATTGTTCCACAGACTAGTTTGGAAACACAGCAGCCATGATTGAGCCACGTCTCATAAACCGTTAATGCCCAGCTCTCGCTACGCTCGGGCTCACGCTGTTCCTTGAAGATTTCATAAACGCTTAGTTATAACGGACGATAAACCAAAACACTGATTGGCCGCTTGAGATTTTTTTATTGGTACACCAACATATAAAAATACTAATTGGACTAAGGTCTGTGAACAAATATTACAATAATAAATCATAATATTACTTCTGACGATGTTTCACTCTTCTTTCTGAACAGCGACCGATGAGACGATGACTGTCGTACTGATGCCTCCGCGAAAATTGGGGAAGTTGATTTTGAGCAAACAACCAAGAATTGATCGTTCAATCTTCAACTCCATTGACATGATGCATGTGTGAATATATTAATCAGTTAATTAAATCAGTAATCAAATGACAATTACGAATAAATATAATAAAAATGAAAATTCGTAGTAAGTTATATTTCGATGACTTGCACGTAACGTTTAGGCCAATGGACTCGTCTACCAGATCGTGTTGTTTTCGCAGGCTTCTCTGTCGACGTTGAAGCTTGTGTGGATGTAGGTGTTGGCACGTCGTTCAGCTGGTCCTTATCGTTGACTTGGAAATCGTCGAGGAACACTGGTTTGACTCTGTCGGTACTGATGGTTTCTGTTTTATTCAATCTTTCTATCGTGATAACTTTTGCGTTTCTGTTTAGAACTTTGAATGGGCCATCATAAGCGGGTTGAAGTGGTCGTTGTACACCTTCTCTCCTGACGTAGACGTGGGTGCAGTCTGTCAGTTGTGACGGGATGTATGACGCTCGTTCCTGCTGACGTGGAAGTGATATCTTTGGCTCGTTCATGTGTCGTTTTAGCTGGTGCACGTAACCAGTCATATCGCATGGAACTTCGTTACCCGGGGTGAAAAATTCTCCTGGTAATCGTAATATTGTTCCACAGACTAGTTTGGAAACACAGCAGCCATGATTGAGCCACGTCTCATAAACCGTTAATGCCCAGCTCTCGCTACGCTCGGGCTCACGCTGTTCCTTGAAGATTTCATAAACGCTTAGTTATAACGGACGATAAACCAAAACACTGATTGGCCGCTTGAGATTTTTTTATTGTTACACCAACATATAAAAATACTAATTGGACTAAGGTCTGTGAACAAATATTACAATAATAAATCATAATATTACTTCTGACGATGTTTCACTCTTCTTTCTGAACAGCGACCGATGAGACGATGACTGTCGTACTGATGCCTCCGCGAAAATTGGGGAAGTTGATTTTGAGCAAACAACCAAGAATTGATCGTTCAATCTTCAACTCCATTGACATGATGCATGTGTGAATATATTAATCAGTTAATTAAATCAGTAATCAAATGACAATTACGAATAAATATAATAAAAATGAAAATTCGTAGTAAGTTATATTTCGATGACTTGCACGTAACGTTTAGGCCAATGGACTCGTCTACCAGGTCGTGTTGTTTTCGCAGGCTTCTCTGTCGACGTTGAAGCTTGTGTGGATGTAGGTGTTGGCACGTCGTTCAGCTGGTCCTTATCGTTGACTTGGAAATCGTCGAGGAACGCTGGTTTCACTCTTTGACAGTACAAGCGATTTCGTGTCCATTTCTTAACGTCGCCGTTAATGTTCGGCCGGATAAATCTTTCTCTTAGTAGCTTGGTAGTAGTGCTAACACCAGGATGCGACAAGTTATGTAACTTCTCGAATACTGTATGTCTCATAGCTATTGGAACGAAAGGTCGATATTTACCCGTAGAGGTGTCGCAGATAACTTTTGCCGAGCCAAAAGGAATTGCCTCGAGGTTTAGAGATGTTGTTTTAGAAGACATGATCTTTTTGGGCTCGGCGTCATCTCATTGTAAGTTTGAGAGATGTTCGTAGTCGATGTCTGGGCATACAATGTTATCATTGTGCATACGTGATAAAGCGTCTGCCACTTCATTGTTTTTGCCCTTTATGTGTCGCAGATCGAAGTTGACTTGGGAAATATACTCGATATGTCGTATTTCGCGCGGACAGTAATTAAACTGCTTTGCTGATAAAGCTTTCGTTGGAGCTTTGTGGTCTGTTGATCGGAAAGATGGTTGTAGAATGTCAGGAAACTGATCTGCCGAGACAGTATATTGAGGTGCTGGTGTGCGTGTGACCATCAAGTTCAACGATGATGCACGGCTAATCGTACCAGCGATGTACTTTTCATTGAGCGAGTCTATAAGCTTAGGGCTTACCGGATCAACTAGCAGTTTGTGTTGCTGTAGAAAATCTGTACCAAGGATTGGGGATGGAACGTCTGCGATGATGAAAGACCAGTTGTATGTATTCTGCAGACCAAAATCTAAAGTCATTCGTTTACTGCCATATGTCACAATATTAGACTTATTAACGGCTTGGAGCGTAACTGCAGGGTCAGGATGTTGACGTTCCTGCGTAGACGGAGGGAGAACACTAACCTCTGCTCCTGTGTTGACTAAGAATGTAGTACCGGTATTTCTATCTGTTACATAAAACAAATGACTGCTAGACCGTAGATTGCCGACAGTAGAAGTTTTCATACATGACGATATATCTTTTGGTTTAGCCTGAAAGTTGCAAGGTGAACGACACCGTGGTGCATTGCCTCCGTAACTACGGTGGTACCAGCAAATAGTATTGTGATGTCGTGACATGCTGGGTGACCGAGAAAGACGTCGACGAGACGAGCTTCTAGAACGGCCTGGTCGTGTGTGTGTGGTCAGTGCTGCTAACTGACTCAGTAAGGTGTCGACTTTGTGTTCTAGAGTCTGTATCCTGTCGTGAGTGTCTGGTATTCTGCTAGTGGAAGCAACAGATTGAGGTGTTGACCTCTCGTACATTCGATCCGCAATTTTGGCGAGTTTTTCTACGTCAATGTCGTCGTCTCCGAAAGCAAGAACTTGCTGAATGTGTGCAGGCAGTCGTTGCAGCCAGATTTGGTAAAAGAGACGTTTGTCGATTTCTCTTCCTGCTACCAGGCTTTGCATATGCCTCATGAGTTGCGATGGGGTTTTAATAATAATAATAATAATTTTTATTTCTGTAACAGAAACCAGCCATTTTTACAGGCATGAACATATGTACACTTATGAAAACTTATAGAATATATAATATGATTTGCTAATTTAGAAATAAGTTGAATACTGGTAAATGTGAGAAAAACATTTAAAATGAAGTGTACAAATAAGGAAATAGATATAGCGTGAAATCTAAACTATGATTGAAAAAAATACATGTCAATTTCACGCGGGAATCATAAATGATTGCGTTAGTTGGGAAGGTAAGTAGCATATCTGTACAGGTGCTGACATGATACGTAAGAGATGCAGAATAAACAATATTTATCAGTAAATCATTCAGAAAGAGTTGTAAAGTCTATTAAACTTTAAATTCACCTGTAAGTACATCATATTTGTGACATTTCCAGTTGTTTATGAGACCCACTTTGAACTTGTTAGCAGATTTTATAATACCGATGATCCCGTTATTCACCAGGTGAGCTAGCAATATCACGAATAAGTAGAGAATTGCAGCGCTGTATCAGTACCTTCGTTGAAAGCAGTATCTTTGAAAAGAGAAGAAGACACAAGAAAACCGGCAGACAGGTGCAGAAGTATATAAAAGGTGTTAATAATTCAGAATATATAACAGGCATAGGGTTCATCATTCTTTTATTGTTTTTTCTAAGAAATATTATTTCCCGATATTCTACAGCCTTTTCCGCGAACAATCAGCTTGAGTAAAAGGCAGGTGATAATTTCACCTTTTTATGTAGGTTGAAAAGGAGTTAAACACAAAAGTCAAAGTGCGTGAACTATGTAAAAGAAAAGCGAGGGCCTAGTAATCTATGTTTTTCTGAAGTATACAGTTCGGTGTCCTTCTGAAGTAGCGGACTCATACCATTTACTTTCATTCGGGAGTTTGCATTTAAACTTCGGCTCTAGGCAATTTTCAACTTCTATTTCTTTTTTTTCATTATTTTTTAGTTTTTACTTTTTTATTTATCCTCATTTTGCAGGAGCCATCCGAACTCAGGAGCCTTAGCAATAGAGTGCTGTCCCACAGATAAGGGTGGTTCACATATGTCCCCACCATCATATCCGCTGACTAGCAGTCACCACCCTCCCACCATTTTGTGCAGGCCCTGGCGGAATGCTTTATCACCTAGCTCTACATTGCTTAACAAACTATCGAGTTTTTGCCTATCAGAAAGCGAAGTGCGTCGAAGAACCTCATCCTTCAACTTGTCGTAAGGAGAGTCTGTGCTGGGTTGAACTATGTGTTGTCGAACCTGTTCGGCGATTTTGTCTGGTAGTACTGTACTCAATATGCCGAATTTAGCCGTCTGTGACGTGAGCTTGTTGGCAGTGAAATAATGTTCCAGTTGTGCAAACCAAAGATGGGGGTCTCTGGGCTTAAAAACTGGTACAGTAAGAGAAAGAGTACTAACAGATCCCAGCTCTAAGTTATTAGAGGTATTGGAAGACATGTTACAATTCGTAGAAAAATGGTTTAACAGTAACAAAATAGCAAAAACTATGCACACTGAGAATAGGGCAAAACAGAAAAACATGGAATGCAGATGCTCACCACAGATTACTGCAAGTTGTGCGATGAGAAAGCACAAGAATGAGTTCGAAATGTGTATTATATTTTAATGGTTGACGGATATCTCGTTCAACAACTTATAATTAATTTATTCTCGCGTACCAAAGACAAAGCAAAAGCCAATATTTGATCGTCCAAACCAAGAGATATATTTAGGAACCAAAACGAGCCGTTAGACGAACGCTTAGCTAGCTAGTGATCGTGCACGTGACACGACGGGTACCAAATGGCGGGGATGCTTGACCGGAAGCCTTCA